TATACCTCATGTACTTTTTTCTTTTGGCATCTTCTTTTTTTGACTATTTGAGCTGATGGATCATTTCTCCACTGTAAGATCAATAAAATCAATCAATCTACACCGTGGCCTGGAATGGGAAATAAAGAAAGGTGCCTGAGTGATATTCAACTGTAATATATCAATACAAGATCTTTAATGTCTGTCCGTCAGAAAGAGAGTAGATCCGATGACTCCCCCTCAGGGAGTAAGTTTGGGCTTTCTCAGTAGCTGATACTCAAGTCTATCCCTCACCCTGTCCCACTTCATCAAACAGGAGACCTTCTTCCAGAAGCTTGCCTAGCGCACAGTGTTCACCTGTCAGTGGATCATTACCTTCCTACTGTGTGAGGCTGAGGACGAACATCTGAACTCTCTGACACCCCCAGAGGTGAGTCTCTGACACCCCCAGAGGTGAGTCTCTGACACCCCCAGAGGTGAGTTCCTCCTACCGCTTTACTCCCTGTTTGCCCGCCTGTCTGTGAAGCTACTGAACTCTGCAGGATGGAACTGGGTCATTGTCTGATCTGGGACAGCAGGAACCTGCATACAGAAAGGAGGTGTATGGTTGGTCCAGCGCTGGACTCTAAACCTCCACTGCCCCCCCCCACCGTCCTCAACAGCACCGTGTCCACCGTAGACCTTCCGCTCCTGGGAACCAGTGAGGACCTGATCTGGTCCTCACATAGAGCACAGAAGCTGTTGCTCCTCCTCCTCTATCGATCAGCTTGTCTGGAGGACAGACATGGCCGCGTTGTTTGGCTCATCAACAAAGCATCACTGCTTCCACTGTGACAAAGAATCAGGTCTGCAGCTTTACAAGTCTAAGGCACGAAAAAAGTGGCCTGACCGTAACATCTCTGTAGACCCCAAACATCCTGTTCCTGAACTCAACACGGCAGAGTGGAGGATTCTGCTGAGAAAGGAAAACATGGTGTAAAGTTATTTACAGGTTTCTTTATGACTGTGAAAATGTGTGTAAGCAAAACTTAAAAAATAAAAGTCATCACAGGTCTCCAGTCCAAAAGAGGACAATAAAACCACATTAAACGCCTCCATAAAAATACAAAATAAATAACAAAAAATGACAAAAGAACAGTGTAAAGTAAGAATGAAATTATAGTTTACTTTGTGTACAGTAAGATTTCTAATCAAACCAGCTAATTATACTCATAAACTGAAACCATAGAATGTTGCCTTCACAGACAGCAGGGAAACAAATAAACCTGCTGTGAAAATAACTCGGCGGTGATTTATTTTAATCTGAATTATTTTCAGTTAGTCAAAATTAGGAAATGAACCCATTAATTTTATTGAAAGTCTGTCAATAGGCAAAAACTATATTTCAAACACAAAATAGCTTTCAGTCTATAAACTCCCATTTTAAAAATATAAATGTTTGAATTTTAACAATATAACTTGACATTTTTTTTAAACAGTAAACGAAAATATGATAATATTCCATCTTTTTATGACGAATTTAACCTTTTGGGGATTGATCCATTGCAAACTCGATTTTCCGACTTCCTGCTGTCCGTGAACGCGTCTTGTTCAGCGGTGACGTTTTGCGGAAGTGAGTGAAAAACAGTCATAAGACCCGCAGAAAATCAAGGAAACGGCACCGCGACATGGATGAACACCCACGGACACTGTGAATCACCCACTCCACGCGCGACAGGAAGCGGCCTGAAGCGGCGGCGGGACGCGGTGAATTAGCAGCTAGCAGCGGGGGTCTGGCTGCCCGGGAGGAGCCGCTTCTGGTCGGTGTGTCTGCGGCGGTGGAGCCGCTCCGCCCGCAGATGGAGGAGATCAGAGGCTCTCCGGACTACAGCTGGTTCCGGAGCACCGTTCCTCTGAAGAGGGTGAGTCTGATGGAGACAGAAACACTTCCTGCTTCCACCTTTGATCTGCAGCACGAGGAAAAAACAAACACCTGAAGAACCTAAAGACCTAGGAACGGTTCCTAGGTCTTTGGGTTCTTCAGGTGTTTGATTTTTCCTCGTGGGCGGTTCTAGACAGGGGCCAATGGGGGCCCTGTAGATCATGCCATGGCCCCTGCCATGGCTCCTGTTATGGCCCCTGCTATGGCCCCCATGGCCCCTGCTATGGCCCCC